CATGCATACATTTGCAGACAGAACGACAAACACATAGTAATGGGCCAGATCCCACGTCTAAAGGCACATTAACTCAGCAATAAAATTATAGCTTTGCATCTACCGTGACAATAACGACAATTCAGTCTAGAGCTGCAGCTAACGATTATTTTCAAAATCGATTAGTTAGCCGATTACCGATTATTAAGTTCGATTCATCGGTTAATCGGATAAAACATAAAATACATTTTTTTTAAATCGCTCCAGTGATGGGACTACTAGTTTGTATTGAGATTGTGGTCCATCACAGGAGCAAGCTTGGAGCGGAAGTAAAAAATAAAAACAAAACTGGTGTGCAATATAGTGAAATGAAATGTGTAAAATTATATAGCAATGAATGCAGAATGGCATCGGCTATAGAGAACTACAAATCCCAGTAATAGTACATTATAATTAGTGGCATTCGACATTGCACCACTGTATAATGTATTATTGCTGGGATTTGTAGTCCTCTATACAGCGCAATGCAGAATACCACCAGCTATATAGGAATACAACAAATCCCAGCGATACATTATACATACAGTGCATAATGTATTGCTGGGATTTGTAGTTCTCTATATAATATACAGCGCAACGTACCATCAGCTATTGAGGAATACAAATCCCAGCAATACATTATCATCCCCCCACGCCTGCTCCTACTTATTTCTTCTTCTCCCCGCGTCCCTGTGGATGTGGGCGGGCGGTGGGCGTGAGGAGGTGCGGCGTGTGGAGCGTGGATGCGGGCGGGTCTGGCAGCGGCGAGCGTAAGGTGGGGAGGAAGTGTGGCGCGCAGCGTGTGTGGAGTCGTGAACAGGGCCAACCAATCGGAAGCCGATTAATCGATGATTGAAAAAGTTGACAACTTTTTCAATAATCGATTATGTCGATTAGTTGTTGCAGCCCTAATTCAGTCATAGAACACAGTGAGAGGATGCAGGACAAAAGTTTACACATAGTCAATAATAATCCAAAATGTTTAAAAGGGTGAAAACAAAGCCAGAAATATAATATGGGACATAACAATTATGTGGAAATAAGGCTTGTCTGTATGTGAAGTTACAAAAGGAGGTGAAGGAGATAAAGAGGAAGGAGCCCAACGATTCAACCACCTGTCCCACATTTTATAATATTTTGTCAAAGTGCCCCTATGTTGTTTTTCAAAGGCAATAAAGCGGAAAAGTTCCGCAGCCCATTCCTCTACAGATGGAAGGGTAGCGGAAATCAAATTTAGTATTAACATCCTAGAGGCAACATATAAAGCTCTAGATATGGCAATCATAGTATGGGAATCCCACTCAGAGGTTTCGTAAACGCCTAATATACAGGCCATCGGAGTGTTGGGAACCGAAATGGCAAACAAAGCCTTAAGATAACTGGTAGAGTCTGGTCGCATAGTTCAGGAAAGGAAGATAATCACCCCTGTCCCTGACTCGTTGTTTGGAGGTAAATATAAAACAGCCTGTCCTTAGCACAGAGTCTTCTCTTATCACCGGTGAGCCGCACAGTATTTGCATCAAACAGTCTATAGATGGCGTTGTTGATCCAGATCATAGTGCTCAGGATTCTTCAAAATCCACTCCCTTTGCTATCTTTTTGCTAAAAGGAAAACATCAAAAGTCATTATTTTACAAGTGTACTACAAAAGTCATCGTTTTCAAAACTGTACTTACAGATATGGAAAGCACACATAGTTTACGAATAAATGCAATGTTAAGAATGATGAAGGCCGGGAATGTAAACAATGTATTGAATCTATTGTTAGTAAAACATATTCTGAAGAAGCCAGCATTAAGGGCCCCTGCATATCTGAGTGATGAAACACCGTAGTCGCAGGGTGTCACTTGTCACTTTATGTGCAGTGTACCCCATACTGCTGCATGCAGCTGTTTAGATGCACACGGTCTTGACACACTGCCTGTAAGTACAGAGATCTGAAATGAAACATTAAATAAAAGTTCCAGTTCTCCTATGCAGGTACTGCATCATGTGACAGGTCAGGGCACCAATAAGATGGTTCAGAACTGTTCAGTGTTACAGGCTCAACACATAACTATAAACTTAAAACGAGACATATGAATGGATCTGCAGTCCCTTCTGATTGGCAAAAGACATTTCTGTGTTTAGTGGGGGAAAAAACGGGACTAATAAAAGATACTGAAGTTGTCGAAACTGCCTTTTGTTACCATTACGCTGAATTTAGAGTAGATGGGCAGTTTGATAAAACACACACTTTAAAATTCATTAACAAATTATCAGAAAATTTCCAACTTATCAATTTACTGACAAAAGAACATAAAATACTTTCTGGATTTCTTAGATTTGATTAAAGTATCAAAAATTCTGGCAAAGCAATCAGACTGAAACTTTAAGTGAAACTGAAACCTGCCAAAATCAAATTTTCATACAGCTGCCTTCTGTAAAGTCCATAGCCCCCAAATGTCCCAGAATGTGGAAGCAAACCCCGTGCATGTAGTACCTGTTATTGCACAACGCACCTACTATGTGCTAGGTGCGTTGTGATTCATTTGAATGGCACCCCAACGCACCCCCCGACGGCCGTGCATTGCAGTGCAACACACAGTACCGCAGGATGCATGCACTACTATTTCCTATAACAGCACATGCTATGGTGGTAATACGTGTATTGTGCTTCACTGCACTGCATGGCTGCCAGGAGGTGCGTTGGGGTGCCTTTCAAATGAATGGCAACACAACAGACTTAGAAAACAGTACCTCACATTAGGTGCGATAGAATGTGCTTAACACATGGTATTGAGCATTAAATGCAACATTTAGATGTGAACCTGGCCTTAATTATCTTGTTTAATATTTCTAAAAGCCAGTAGAAAGGAAAAGTACTGGTAGAAAAAAAAACTATTCTGGGTTTGAATAAACACTTTTGGTATATAAATTCCTAATGCCCCATATAATTGGGGGGGAGACAGTGGTGTGTCCATTGCCCAAAAACATTGGGGGAAATGTATCAAAACTGGAGCAGGCAGAATCTGCAGCAGTTGTCCATAGTAACCAATCAGCTTATCTCTTTAATTTTCAAAACCTAACTGAACAAACTAAATAGAGAAGCCGATTGGCTACTATGGACAACTTCTCCAGATTCTGTCTGCTCCAGTCTTAATGAACACCCCCTACCTCTTCAGTGTGCTGGAAGTTGCCCCTCATTCGCATCTCAGAAAGTTGGGAGGTATTAACATGTGTGATGCTGTTCTTCCTTCCAGTACTTTTAAGCAGACTATGGATTGGTGGAGCATATGTAGTGACAGTGAGGAAGTTCTGTACCTCTTACAGCCAGGATTAATGAGCGACTCTCCGAGCATTCTTTTTTTCACTTGTCCTGCAGACCCCTTCTTTCGAGCATCAACATCTAACAAAGAGAATGTTTAAAATTACTTTTACTATTAATATAGCACCAACATAGTCTGTACGGAATTCAAATGTTACTATATGACTTGCCACTCACTCACTTGTCCTATATCAAAGTTTAAAGCTGAAGTGTAATCTGCTTATATATTGCCTTCCCCGGCTCCTCCTTTACCTTCCCATTAACATGCTAATAATTGTTTTAAAATAAATCCTTTCCATTTTTATTCCATACCTTATTTGAGACCTAGAGATGTTAGCGGTCTTTTTGCTTCTCTATGCAATGAAGGCAGATCATGGCTGATGGGAGGGGCCAGCATGGTGCTGTTCATAGCTTCCTTGAACCATCACAGCACCCTGCCTCAGAAACTCCTCCCAAGAACCCTCAGCCCAGATGCAAGCTGTGAGCTAGGTCTTGGGAGAGATTATGCAAATATAAAAATGTTTTGATAGGTGGATGTCAGTCTGGAGGAGTGACTGCATTTGCCTGCGTACCACCCTATGTTATGCCCATGTGATGCTGAGCCCCCATGATTGAAAGAAATGAAATCCAATGAATGATAGGGGTGGAGCAGAGACAGTCAGGCTATGGAGAAAAGTGGTAGATGATGCTGAATGTCCCCCTAACCAGAAATAAGGTGGGCTCTGTCTGACTTGCACCAGCTTCTAATACAGAATGTGAGAAGCTCACAGTGTGCCGTGAAATCAGCAATTTCAGTACAAGAGAGCAGCCGGTACAACTGTGCAAGATTGAAGGGAAGGCTGGAGTTCAGCTTTACAGGAAAAATGAAAGTACATTAATTCACATCTTTATATGCATCCTCCATAACTTCATAAATAGATAATCACAAACTAGTAAATTATAACTTATATTGTAAAAAGCTAGATTCAGCTAACAGGATGTCGCTGCCTGTATTCTGTCCCCACCCAATACAGTGTCCACCTGTCTAGTTTTTTGATCGAACACTCCGGTATTGGCCTCCCCATCTGGTTAAAAACACATCCAGGTCTTATAACTTTTCAAAAGTCAGCAAATTTGAAGTGCTTGTTTACTTCGGTGGGTGTGATTTATGTCACTTTTTGTTTTTGACAGAGCTAGGAAGGGTTAGAGCCTCTGTTAGATTTGTCTGTGACTACATTGAGGCAATTTCCACTCACTTCCTGTCCTGCGGACGCCCCTACAAGCAATAGGGGAGGAGGGGGGGAGTGGTTCGGTTGTCTGCGACTTCCTATTCCAGTGACATGATAAAATATTTTGAGAAGTTACAACTAGTGATGCACCAATACCAACACCTGTATCGGTGCCAATACCAAGCACCAAAACTGATACAGATGCTTTATTTATGCAAATTAAGCAGCTGCCTTAGGTCCCACACTTGCTGGGGACCTTGTGGAAGCCTTCTTGGAAACTACAGGGCACCTCTGTTTACAGCGCTTCCACCAGCAGGCACATCTCCCCTTTCTAAGACCCACCGCACATCTCCCCCTCCTGAGACCCTCCACCTGGACACATTAGGGTGGCATCCTGGAGCAGAGTGGCAGCACAGAGTGCGCTATGTATGTCTGCTGTTTCTGTCCTGTGCTTTATTCTGCACTGCTGTATAATGTATTGCTAGGATTTATAATCCTCTATAGCTGTTGGTATTCTGCATTGCTGTATAATGTATTCCTGAAATTTGTAGTCGCTCTACAGCTTGTAGTCAGTGGCAGAACTACCAGGGTCACAGCTGGGACCGGGCTCTGGCGCTCCACCACTGTCCTAAAATAATTACTCTGTATTGTTTTAGAAAAACTGTCACATGACGCTAAAAGAAAAGAAAAAAAAAAGGTATCGGCAATTGGGATCTGTGAGCTCGGTCTGGAAAAAATGGTATCGTGCATCACTAGTTACAACCCTTACTCTATTAAAATGCGTCTCCCTAGTGGAAGAATTTCCCATCATTTCCTGTCCTGACAGGAAATGGAGGGATTCCATCAGTAGAGATACATATATTAATAAAAAACTGACAGAGGTTTTACCTTACCTTTATGCAAAATAAAATGAAACACTTTGCCTAGAATTGGACACCAGTGTGCTAAATCATAGTTACCATCTGTGCAATCACTGTGCAGAATTCAGCTATATAAAAGGAAAATATTTTGCTTCACGTTAACAACTTCATATTAGTTATCTTCAGTTCCAATAAAGTGACAGTTTTACATTTACATCAGTAATTATGATTAGTTTATCCTTTATATACAACCATAAACAAGTAGTTTACTGGCTTTTCAAGATTATAGGATCCTGATACCTTATTGTGCACTTAAAGGAGAACTATGAGGTGAGTGAAAATCACTCATCTTCATAGTTCGAGCCGACGTGTGACAATCAAACTGTCACACGTCGGCTCAATAGATCGGGAAATGAGCGAACACATACCGTCGCTCGCTCACTTCTCGATCATCTCCCTGCAGAGAGCCCGTGACTGTCAGTCACGGCTCCCTGCAGGCATTCCCCCGCTCCCCCCTCTGATCCTCCCACGCAGACTGGAGGAACGTATGGGGAGGGGGTGGGTTTCGCTGGCTCTGCCTCTAGATAGGCAGAGCCCGCTGTCACTCACGCAGCTGGATGGATCTCGACAGTAATGTCGGGATCTGTCCCGGCAGCGGCGGTCTCAGTATATCGCGAGCTGTAGCTCGTGGTATACTGAGCTTTTGGTGAGGTCACGGGAGGATGTTAGTATATGTCCTCCTGTGACCCTTAAGAGAACTACGGGGAAAAACACCTACCTCATAGCTCTCTTTTAAGGCATGCTAAACTATTTTGTCTTTTAGTATACTTTATATGTCATTAAAAGAATGCCTTGATCATTATCACAGCTCAACTGCCATCGCAAATTGATGAATCAGGGCCATAAGACTTGAACGTACCTGGAATAGGCAGAAAATGGTTATGTTGAGACTGCTTAACTGGACTGCTGGATGAAGCCACATTGGTCTCTGCAGCTGGAAGACAAAATCACCCATCATAATATGGCCGTGTTCTGCTTCTAAAGAGTAGCACATTTTAATGAGAATTTATGTTCACTCTACTAGGATTTTGGAGCATTTTAAAAAGAAACCAGTGCATATTTTCAATGACTGCACAGAGCATTGTAATGTTTGCATTGAAAGTATTTATGCAAAATGATCACCACAGGGAATGCAGTGGTACATAGAAGAAAAAAGTAAACATTACATGTAGGTCACATGAAAGTATTTTTTACAGGAGGACCTGGATAAAATAGGGGAGTGGGCATTAATGTGGCAGATGAGGTTTAATCTCGATAAATGCAAAGTAAAGTCAAGCATGTAGGTCACATGGCTCAGTGCAGCAAGGATTCATCTTACATAATTGCAGCCTGAGGACTACATGTGGCCTTTGGGTGGTGGGAAGAAAGCCGAGAGTAGAAATAGAGCAAGGAGTAGTAACAGAGAGGGGGTGAAGGATTAGGGATCTCCCCCTTCACCCCTGGTCTCATCAATCTCATCATTGGGGGGCAGTGGGGGGGTGTAGGGAGTGGTCGCAGCGTTCCAGGCTGCTAAGAGCTCTTAGCAAGCTGTGACACTTGCAATGGCTTCCCTCCCAGCTAACAATGTTATACCTTGTCCACACACCTGGCTGAGGGGTAGTAAAAACAGGTGGTTGATCTGCATTTTCACAGCTCCCCAACTGCCCACCTATAACTTAATATAGCTGCCGCTCATGCTTGTACACATGCTATGGCCAGGATGCTTTGCGTCATGGGCACAGAAAGTTTTAAACAGCATGTCCCGTTTGGTATATGGTGTGGCTTGCCAAACACGATCATTGCAATCAATAGGACCACACTGCAACCATGTGGGCACGATACTGCAATAGAAAATTCCCATTGGAATAAAAAAAAAAAAAAAAAGAGAGAGAAAAAAAGCATTCAGAAAGTAGAAATATCCTCCTGGATGCTGGGCAGCCACTGCTCTAGCGCCCACTGAAATGCAGTATTGGTGCCGAGTATTTGGGTACTCATACTTGCCCAAATGCTCCGATGTCTAGCCCGATACCTGAGCTTCTGGTATCAGGAAGCCGACTCCATGCTCCCTCGTCACTTGGTGACAAGGGAGCATGGAGTCGGCTTCCCGGCCAATCAGGAAGCCCAGCAGTGAGGTTTTTAATGATGTTTATGTCTACTGTGGATTGATTTACCCTCTCAATTCGTCCTAAAGACTACTGACACTGGGACCAAAAGTGATGGTACATCCAAAATGTTACAGTTGCCACTGGAACAGGAATAGAGTGTAAATCTTCCACTGCGATCCCCCTCACTTTGCAAAAATTACTTCTCAAGAGGTGAAGCCTCCCCAATGGGGCACAAATTCTCTACCCTAAGAAAAACAAAACAAGTTTTGGCTTTTATACTTTAAAGATATACTCTAACCCCTGAGTCCTAGGCTTGGCCATTGTTACCTTTCAGCTGTTTCTCCAAGTTCCAAATTCGATCTGTCAGGCTTATTAACACCTGATGCACATGTGCTCGTGCCTCAGAGACAGGAAGCTTGAGAAGGTCAAAGGTCACTTTCCCAGAATTCACAAGAATAGACAGGCTGGCTAAGCTTCCTTGCATATCTAGGACTGGAGTACTGTGCTGGAAGGTTTCCCTGTAGTAAAAAAAAGAAACAGAATATCTGGAATAAGTCTACAGCGAAATTATGAGCACAACATCACCAGGACAGTAAGTGAAAAAAAGCATGTCTGTGACACACAGCAATAAAAAGCTCACTGAGGTTCCAGCCTTCTCTAATTGTAGTAAAAAAGGAACAATCTGACATAGAGAGCAGAGTGAACAGAGGGATGACCCATCACTATGATGCTTCTGCTCCACCACTGTCCAATTCCAGGCTGGGGACAGGGATGTGACAGAGGTGTAATGCTTAACTGCAGTAGAGAAAAGTCAAGTCTACCGAAACGATGATCCACGTGTGGTGGGCATGCCCCCGTGTGTCCAAACTATGGATCAGAGTTTACACCCTCAGTCAATCTATGCTTGATGTTAACCTTTGAAAGGATCCATGTGATGCACTTTTACTTTGACCCATTCCTCCCTTGACCCACCTAGAAAAAAATTTTGGTTTCTCATATAATTATTGCCACAAAAATGACCATAGCCCGGGCTTTGAAACTTCCGGTATTGAGTTTCAATGCAGCTGGTTAACTAAAAACTTCAATTCTTAATTATATACACAATTGCTTCCTTGAGATCTGGCGAACTTAGATTTCATACTCCAAGCCCTCTGACTTTCAGACATCTCTTTAATGATCTGGTATCTGGTCAAACACTCCCTTCTCATTCACTTTTTCTCTTTTTTTCAACTATTTCCTTTCTTTCTTCTTGGCCTTTTCCCCTTCTCTTATTATCTCCACTTTGTTCTATCCCATTGTTTTTTTATCCCTCGCTTCCCTCTTACCCTAACTACCTCCGTTTTGCCTTATGTTTTACCCTACTGTATGTTCGTCCCTCTCTATAGTCGGTTGTAAGACCTTGGCCCTTCCCTTTGGTTAGGTTATGCTATATGCCTGTTCATGACAGATCACATAGTAGTTCTTTTATGCTTAATGCTACACTACCCTGTTTTTCTTGTAGTGGTTGACCATTATTTTATTTGTTTGTCATCTTATGTGTTTAACCCTGTAGAAAACCCAATAAAAATTTTGTAAAAGAAAAGTCAAGTCACCAACCTGCCCCCTCTGTGCAAATCTCAGAATTGGTTGGGCAAAAATACAAATGGTTTTTAGAAGTAAAAAAGCTCCCATATGTCTTAACCTTAAGCTGCTTAATGTTAAATCCCCTGCCTATTTAGGACCACTCCATCACAGGGCCGGATTAACTCTCTCTGCTGCCCCAAGAACAGGTTCCTCATTGCGTCCCCAACTCCCCCCATGGAGAATGGTAGACCTGCAGGCTGCATACAAGTGATCTCAGCGACATCGCCGAGATCACGTGTACAAAACAAGCGGCGGCTTCCCCGCTGTACATTTAGCTCTGCGTGCCCAAAGCAGGACTAAATGTAGAAAACAACTGCATGTCCCGGGCATCAGGAGATAGGAATTCCACACCCCTGCTGCCCCTCTACTCCCTGCTGCCCCGAAGCTGGGCCTTGGTGGGCCTTGTGGGAAATCCGGCCCTGCTCCATGTAGCGATACAGATGGACACCACATCTGACAGGTTCTGTGAGGAGATCTGCAAATACAGATTACACCAGCAGCAACATCTACTTCTGAAATCTTGTATTGCAACATTCTCTGAAAATTCAATCATCAGCACCTGTCAACCACTGAAAACAACAGTAAGAAAAGGACTCTACTGTCCTATGCTAAAGGGCTCTAAGAGATGAAGTTACTACATAGGTGGAGCCCAACCAAAAGCATAGTGTGAAGCAGAGGGAGACTTACCGGAGTTTCGTTACCAGATCCTGCGACGTGAGGTTGCGCACTGCGTCCTGGAAGAGAGGACATGGTTACATTTTAATAACAGCAAGTTCCAGGGTAAGGGATGCAGCAATAATACACAGTATAAATGTTGTGATACATAAAATGTTAGGCAAATGGCTAGAGGTGCACCGAAATGAAAATTTAAAAACCGAAATGGAAAAATAAGAAGAAGAAAGAAGAAAGAAGAAGAAAGAAGAAAGAAGAAGAAAGAAGAAAGAAGAAGAAAGAAGAAGAAACAGGCCGAAACCGAAAAAAAATTTTATTCTAACTTTCAAATTTTGTGAAATATTTTATTGCTATTTATTTTTTATAACCTTTTTATTTTTTTATATTTTATTTATTTATTTAATAAATATTTTTCTTTTTTTACTTTACTTTTAGGGGCTTTGGGGATAATATTAGGGGTCTAAAACAGACACCTGATATTTCCCTTTTTAAATAGAAAAAGAGATTGAGGACACAGAGTGCTCTATCTCTTTTTTGAATCCCCTGTTATAAATGAACAGGAATCCTCTATACTGAGTGTTCCTGTTCATTCATAACATGAGAATATAGTATGTTTACTATAACTACAGCTATGAATGAACAGGAGGGGATATAGATCACTTCTCATTCATTCATAATTGAGGATATAGTACACATACCATGTCCTCAATTATCTACAAACACCGAGCAATCACTGATGTTAACAAACGTACCGCTCTCCATCCTGACACGCTGTCACAGGAGGCTGAGCGAGCGGTGTAGGAAGGAGAGCTCATCCTCCTGTGACAACGCGGGCTGTCTCCGCCCCCACACCGCTCAGCCTCCTATCACAGTTCGGCAGAGCGGTGTGGGGGCGGAGACGAGAGAGATGAGAGATGCCGGCCGCTCACAGCGCTCTCCTCCCGCAGAGCTCGGCCGACTGTCACACTTTCTCTCCTCCCCACTGGGACACAGAGCAACGCCCAGCGAGGAGGAGAGAATACACGGATGCACCACTATATCGACCAGAAAATGGCACTTTTGGCATTTTGACAAAGTGCCATCTTCCGCTGATATGTTTCGGCGGCCGATGTATCACTACATCCCTACAAATGGCTTTTTGTAACGTGCTTATTGCCAATATTAACCAATGCATAGAGGCATTAAAGGAGGATATAATTGTGCAACAAAGGCAGTTCATCAATGAGGCTATAATAGGGCTAATGTAAGAGTATAGTTTAGACTTCATGTGCTTCTTTTATTAATTTTTTAAGCAACCCTTTACATCAACTGTTACTTATTTTACCGGTCATCATCCAGAAATGGTGCTCATTCTCAGCTAGCCAGCTCCTAGCCATCAAGCACAGTGGTGCATCAGCTCTGGAGTTGGCACTGCTTCTAGTAATGTATGCTTTAGCAGTGAAAGGGAACCAAGGCTCCGACCACGGCTGCATTTGCCATAAAGGCAATCAGAGACCAGTGCCAAGGCAGCATAATAGGGAGACAGCAACAAAACTCAACATTAAGGCTTCATTCAGATGCTGCCGCTGGGGATTCCAGCAGCAAAAACCTATGGATTCTTGTTGCAGGAAACCCAGGTATGTGCGAACAGATGCAGCCACTGCACCTTCTTCAAGTTAATGACAGGCTAACAGCAGCCACATCTATCAGTGGCTGTCCGCAAGTAATCGTACATGGAATCACCTGTGTTACACTCTGTCTGCATCCAGGGACAATCATCTATCCCTAACCATACTATGTATGATTACTTGAAGAAAGCCACAGACAGATGCGACCGTTGTCAGCCTGTCATTAACTTGAATGCGCACAGCCGGCATCCAGCTGTCTGAATACAATAGCTAGAAGGGAGATTCGTCCATCCAAACCATTTAACGTGAATTGGAATTTCTCTTATTCAGCCTGCTAGGATGAACAAGAGAAATATTAATGTGTATGGCCAGCTTTAGCCACCTGGACTTATGTACTAGTATCTAAAATAAAAACTACTTGTGCTGCCAATCAAGTACGCATCCGCTGTGGAAAACTCCACACGGAGAGAAGCGTTCTGGGTGGGAACACTTAGGCTGGGTTCACACCTGAGTGGTTTTTTTATGCTCGTTTTTTCCCCACGTTTTTTCGTTCAGTGAAACACGAGTTTCACTAGCGTTTTTTTGTTTGTTTGTTTTTTCCTTTATTTTCTCTATTTAAAAAAAAAAAAAAATGTTTGTTTCACTTTTAAACTTCCCACCGGCTCCGCCCCCCTGCGACGCGGCCACTCGGAAGGGACAGAACCCGGAAGTCGGCAGCCGCCGAAGACACAGCGGGGATCGCGGACAAGGTAAGACCTGTACGCTGTATTCCCGAGTGTGGCTCGGGGTTACCGCTTTGTTAACCCCCGATCCACACTCGGGAATTCCAACGGCAACGCGCGGCAAAACGCCCCAAAGAAGCTCCTGTACTTCTTTGGGCGTAGGGCGTTTTGCAGCGCGTTCCTACGCGCTGTAAAACGCCCAGGTGGGAACCATGCCCTTAGGCAATCATTGGCTTTCACATGTTGAGCGTTTTACAGCATGTAGGAACGCGCTGTAAAACGCCCAGGTGGGAACCAGGCCTTACTGTATAACACAAGTCTCAGTCAATGGCAGTAGAGAAGATGGTCACCAGCTACTAGGATCACTTACCCACTCTTCTAGTGCTTCCTCTGCTGCATCTAACCGCCACGCCTCAATTCCATTTGTCACTCTAGAGAAAGGAAAAACAAATACAATGCTGTGAGATAGTATTTAAAGCCCAACTCTAGCTAAAACTTTTTTTCCCTTTCAGTGGAATGATAAGGATTATTATTGCCTCATTCTCGTATTTATTGCCATCTGCACCCCCATTGTGGAGATTTCTCCGCTCTTCCTAACCTGGGGTTCATACAGGAAGAAAAGAGGATTTCCCCATTGGAAGCACAGGCTGCAGTATTGATCTGGGAGCTACAACAGCTGAGTTTGTATTCAAAAGGGTTATTATCCTGACCCCTGCTTTACTACCTGCTGACCTGGAACAAGCATACAGAATGGGTTCCTGTGGCCCCCTGGAACGCACCCCTTTAAGCACCAATGGTAGCCCTCATTTTTCAGTGCTAAGTTGGTGCACTTTAAGCCCTCATTCACACTGTAATCGACCCTCACGTACAGCTCCGTGCAGGGCCGTATCGAGCAGCTCCTTGGAAGGACAGGTGCTGCGTGTGAATAATACGCAGCCCTTGTCCTTCTCTATGGGACTACGCGGCCGTACGCCCCCCTACGCTCACCTCAAGTGCAGGTTCGTAGGGGTACATGCAGAGGGGTGAGCGTAGAGGGGCGTACGGCAGCGTAGTCCCATAGAGACAGAAAAAAAGAAGACATAAATACACCAGTGTGCAGACAGTAAACCATCACAAAACACATCACCAACCCCATGACGTTACTATGATATCGCATTCCCACCGTAATCCCACCGTACAAAATTAATCACAGAATTAAAAAGCAGTGGAAGTAGAAAAACATACTATGTGTCCCATGTTGCTTCAGCCACACAGATGCGTAAGTGTATAATTAAGGCCCCATTCACACCTGACCCTTTTGTAGCGCGTCCTACGCTCGATGAACGCTCTACAAAACGGTCAAAAAAATAAATAGCATTGTAGTCAATGGTATCGTTCCCACCTGTCCGTATTTCCGCCCGTCCCGAACGCACTACAAAACGGGCCACGCATGAAAAGGTCCCGGAGCGTTTTTTGCTGCGTATTGGTCCGTTTTGTAGGGCGTTTTCCATTTGTATACTGCCAAGTAGCCTTTGGAATCGCGCGACTTTTTTACCGCGATAAAAAAACCGCGTGACGGTCGCGCGACAGACGCGCATATTACAATACGCATAGGTGTGAATGGGGCCTAATTGTTGTTCCCTTAGAACAGGGGTAGGCAATTCCGGCCCTCCAGGTGTTGTGGAACTACAAGTCCCATGAGGCAGTGCAAGACACTGACAGCCACAGGCATGACTCCCAGAGGCAGAGGGATGATGGAATTTGTAGTTAAAGCACAGCCCACCCCTGCCTTCAGAAGAAGAAAAAGACACACGGCAATCACTGGCAGTTGTCATGGAAACTTTGAAAACCAGAAAACTGCTTTTGCTGCCTTCATTTTCTTTTGCGAGGGCTGCATGCTCTTAAATGCGTTTTGTTTTAGTCCCCCGTTCAACCTAGGCATTTGGTTGCTCAAAGCTAAGTGCGACAAAGTGCCCAAGACAAAGAATCCCATTTATTTCTATGGCCCCTGCCACACCCGAGCTCTGTGATCTGCAAAAAAAAAAAAAAAAGCCCAAAAAGTTTTTCACGGGCCCACGTTT